AATGGGGAAAAAAAAAAAAGAAGCTCCAAATGAAAGCAAACATCATATTTCTTGGGACAAATAAGACATTGCGTTTCATCCTGTCATTAAGACTTATTCCAGGTCGCGAGATTTGCCAACCAAACATTCCTTCTTTTGTACAAAAATCTCTCCCAAACATCTCAAAGCAATTCTACATCAGGTTTGTCACAGCTCACCTCCACACGAGCCGGCTCCCGATGCTGACAACATTTACCTGATAGAAGCATTTCGAAGCAGCGCTGCACATATATCCAAGCAAGGACAACCAGTGAGAGAAGGCAAAGCTGCAAATTACACCGAGTTTGAGGAAAAGGCAAGACGAGGCACAGCGAGCCCATATGGGGCAGGGATGTGCTTCCCTCTCCTATACCTGGCTGCCCAGACAGCTGTGGGTGCCCCATTTCTGGAGGTGTCCAAGGCTGTGGATGGGGCCTGGGGCAGCCTGAGCTGCTGGGGGGCAGCGAGCCCACAGGAGGGGATGGAGTTCAGTGGTCTTCAAGGGCCCTTCCAACCCAAACCACTCTGTGGTTCTGTGACCTGCAAACTCCAAGCACAGACCAGGGCACCCCGCTACGAACACACACTTGATATTTCAGCAGCATGGAGGTGCACATGGACAGGGTGAGGGCAGATGCACACAGTGCCTTCCCTTTTGCCCATGTTCTCAGCCATGCACTAATCCTACTCTCACCACACCTCCCCCAAAATCCCTATGCTTTTCCTTCGTTTCCTCCCTTCAGCATCTCCCTCCAAGCTCAAGCACCCTCTGTTTACAACAACCACCTATCTAACACGAGCTCATGCTGTTCCCCCTCCAACTATTCTCCTTTTTCAGCATACTGAAGATGGAAAATATCTACGGCAGCAGATGCATCCCACGCGTTCAATGCCATCTGCAAGGAGCAGCCCCTCCCATGGCTGCTTTTCCCCTAATATCGACTTGGATTGCCCTAGGGATGACATCAGAAAGTTGGTTTGCTGCTCAGCTTGGATGAACTAAGAGTGTTTATTCATCCTTACTTTATCTGCGATGCAAATCAAGCACTCCAGTTACATATTTTAACACAGGGGGTTCTGGTTCCCATTTTATCCCATCTCTGCAAAGGTGGAGTGGAGGAGAAAAGACAGAGGCTGCCCGTCCCAGACCAGAAAGAGTTGGTTCATGGGCAGCAGACACAGCCATAGCCCCACCAGCACCCTCAGACAGCTCAGGACCAGACCAAGGATAGGGACAGCATGCAGGACCTCCTAGCAGGACCATCAGAGCTCAGCAAAGCTTGGCTGTCCTGACCCCACAGGGCAGGAGGGGGGACACAATTCTCGTACAGATATACACTGATTCTATTCCTCTTTTCTTTTTATTAAAAAAAAAAAAAAAAAAAAAAAAAAAAACCAAACAGCTCATTGGAGATCAATTTAGCTGCTTAATAACTTTCAGATAAGGAAATCTGCTGCTGCAGCAATTTTTTTCCCTACCCTAATTAATTCCTAAACATATCACAAGCTGGAAGTGCATGTTTTATGAATCCGGTTGACCTCCTGGTGCAGAAATGATGACACAGATGTTGTGCCTCCTTCACTACCTCATTACTCATGTTACACCATTCTTCTCCAAATGAGCTGGCTGCCATCAACAAGGCGCACTGCAAAGAGCCAGCAAGGCTCCAGCAGCATCCCACAGCCACCAGAGCACTCAGCCCCTACACTGCAATACATTGCAATACACAGGCAGTGCAGAGAGGCAGAGTCGTGGCATTCTTGACAGGAAAAGGGGAAAAAGAGAGGTTAAGGATGGATGGACGATGGCACAGAAGCAGCTTCAGGAAGGAGGCAGCAGTTCCTGAAAGCCCTCCAGCTCCTGGAGACAGATGCAGTGCTTCTGACCCTGGCGACGGGAGGAAGGCATTGGGCTGCACATCCCACTCGGCTCCACTTCAGAGCAGGATGCTCAATCAGAGGGAAGCGTTTAGGAGCACACTTTATACCCATCTTAGAAGCTGACAGAGCACAGCACAAGCAGCTGATCATTAGGGACACTCGGGATGCGTAAGATCAAGAAGAAAAAAGGAAACTTGTCTAAATAAGAGCTGAAAAATCTGCTGGGAAACCGAGCAACCAGCAGCTAACTGCTGCCAGCAGAAAGCAGGAAGTTACAAAACGAAGATCAGCTTGATGATATCTGGTCACCTTTATTCCAGACACCCCAACATCCCTCGCAGGGAGTTGGTACGAGATGAAATGAGGCTTTGGTGTGTTACCATCCAGGGAAGGCGAGAGGTGGCCATCCCCATGTGTCACCCACCATGGGCACCAGCCCTGCCCCTCCATCTTAGGGGCACAGCAAAGGGCAACGCAGAGCTGCCAAGGAGTTCAGCTGTTCAGGTGGTTCAGCGCAAGGTGAGATGTGCCCATCCTACCAATGCCACGGCTCTGCATCCTGCAATTGCACACACAGCTGCAGCAACTACTAGAAAATGTGGCTCTGGGCCTGAGCCCACAACAATGCTCAACAATAACTGAACAGGCATAATATGGTGGAGAAAAATATATCTTATGTTCTGCTAAATTCAGCAATTTACAAGGCTGGAATAATTAGTGGTTTAAAATGTTTTGACACAAGCAGCCCCAATAATCATGATAAATCATATCAGGCATATGCCCAGATCCTCAAAGTGACAGACGACAAACAGAGCAGTGACAAGACGCTCTATCATGCAGGGAATCATTGAGTTAATGGAAGAATTATTGCTTCTGAAATCCACTCCAGTCCTATTGTGGGGAACATTCCAATTTATCAAAGCCAAATGAACATTAATTGCTGCAGCCTGGTAAGTTTTCGAGCTGCTGTGACCTTCATTGAATTTTAATCCAAAACAGATAAGATTTACTTCCACACAAGAGGAAACAACACAATTAAACCCAAATAACAGCTAAGATTATGGGGAAAAACACAACAGATGTAATGACAAAAATATTGATTCCTTCCTACTTGGCGCTGCACAAAAAATAGAGTAAATAAAATCTAGCATTTACATAAATATATTCATATATATATTTCCTTTCTTCCCTTTTCATCTGGGAGACAAATCTTAGTTGCTCAAGCCAAGAGGAAAGGGGTGGCAGACAGTAATGGAGACTGAATTCCCTTTAACTGCAGTAATTAATGTGTTATGTTTCAGTGGGGAAAGATTAAGACAAAATGGTGAGAAGAAAAAAAAAAGAAGAAAAAAAAAAGGTATTATTGTGCTGTTACAGATGTCCTTGAGCTTGAGCAGAGATGCAGAGAGGGTCACAGCTGCCCCTGGGACATGAGGCAGAATGCAGAGGAATGATGGCACGGCCATGCCAAGTGAACAGCACAAAGCAGGACATGGGAGGGCAGAGCTGGGCATTCAGGTGGCACACAGCAGTGTGGGCTGTGCAGAATGCAAGGACTTGAGGTGGGGATGGAAGGTATTAGTATGGGAAAGCAGCCCAAAGCTCTGGGACACGGATGGCATTTAATCCAAGAAACAAAGACTTCCAAGCAGTTTTACTTTAGCTACACAAATCCATGTGGTTTTGAGAGAAACCCACAACAGGCATTTATCTTCTGCTAGTAACTCCAGCCTTGGCTTGGGTTCACTCAAAGAAGTTCATGAATCTTCCAAGAGATGGGCAAAGCATTCTGCTGGTGGGCAGTCCTGGCCCAGGGAGCTCTGCAGGTCCCCAGCACCAGGACTTGGAAAGAAAGTAGAATTACAGCCACTGTGCAGGAGGAACTCTGGTTTCTCTCCTGTCCTCACCTCGCTCATCTAGAAGCTGTCACCCAAAGCCACGGATGCTCCCATGCCATTGGGTTCAGTGCTGCATGGCAAAGCCTCATCTAGCCAACCTCAGCACAGGATGCCCTGACACACGCGTGCCCACTGCAGCCAAGCAGGGCTCAAGGTTTCACACCCAATTTGCGTTTTGCTGTCTTTATTCTTCGCTCTCTCTCTCTCTTCTGGCTTTTTCAGGCTTATTTTCTAAGTATTCCATCTCTACTGTTTTCCCCCCCAGTATTCCATCACACTGACACTGGTAGCAGGATGTAAGAAGCATTCCCTGCCCAACCCATTGAGCTCCTGCCCCTTCTGCCATCCTGCTATCACACTGTGCCTTCTCTCACCCAACAGCCTCAATGCAAAGCCCCTTTCTGCATTCACTTGCACTCAGTGCCCAATCTAAAGCCTTGCTGACAAGGGTTGAGACACTCAGAAAAAAAACACCAGATTTAGGTTGTAGAAGCCAAATAGCTGCTTGTTCAAGCAGGAAAAAAAAAAGTCACGAAGCCACCTCTGCTCTGCCTTCCAAAATGAAAAAACAGACGGCATGGAAATGGCACACAGGCTGTAAAACACAAACAGATGCACCTCGTGCAGAGGGGTGCTGCAGGATTCCCATATGCAATTTGTGCAAGCGATGTGCAGGTACACAGTGCTCTGGGGATCTAGAAGCCTAACTTCTAGACCACCATCTCATAAGTCACTGAATTAAGCACCTTAAAAGGCACAGAACACTTACACAGTATGTTAGCGACAGCCAGAATCTAAGATAAGAAACGTTCAAAGCACTGAGACCATGTTTTCACTCATCAGACTGATCCTCTGAAGCAGGAGGATCGTGCTGCAGAACACAACTTCTCAAGACAAGAAATTCAGCTTACAAAAACTCCAAAAAATAGCAATCAACCCACGATCTTGCCTTTGCGTGTACCATGAAGGCCAAGGAGATTTCCACCAACACCCTGACAGGTGCCAGCAGAGGCTCGAGGACTCCCACATTCCCACCGCCCCACTTCCATTCTCAAGACCAGCCCCACTTTGCCTCCTGGCCCCTTCATACACACCTCTCCCTCTCTGGAGGCACGAGAGGACACACACAAGGGACAAAGACAAGGCACATCGGACTCTCCAGCCCGTCCTTTACCACCACTGTCCCCACGCCCTCCCACTCACCATGACGGAGATATGAAGGATGTGCATCTGCTCCTCCACGATCTCGGAAGGCTCCTGGAGGCTGGGAGGAGTGGCCCGGGAGAGCTGCTCGGCGCTGCTCATGGAGACATGGAAGTACAGGGTGCCGTTTTCCAACCACTGCTGCTTCCAGTGCACCAACGAGATGTCTGCCACCGTCCCCGACATCTCTGCAGGGACAAAACATGCAACCGAGGGTCAGTTTGTTCCACGACATCAGGGCTTCACCACCATCTGCATAAAGAATTTCCTGCTAATATCTAACCTACATCTCCTATCTCGGGACTGGAAGCCAGGATAACAGCATCCTAACACACCCCAGCACAGCAGCATCACCACCCAACACCACCACAGCACCATACCTGACAAATGAGGAGCTGGGACAATTTGGGCACCATGCAATCGAAAGCAAGCGCAGTTCTGTGCTCAGCACTCCCAGCAGCTCCGATATGCAGCTGCTGCGTCTGGCTTGGCCAAGCAGCAGCAGAACAGGAGTGCTGACAGCTCCACAGCTGCCTATCAAGTTTGTAACAGATCTCTGCAAAGAACCGATTTGTCAGTTTGGCAGCCAAACCAAAACCGAAAAGAAAAAAAAAATACTATCTCTAAATAAGCCACAATATTTCTCCTTCCACCACCTCTCTTTTTGCATTTGTTTTTCCATTTGCAATACAAGCAATGGGAAAGAAGTCAGGTTCCCACTGGCAGTCCTCCAAGTCACTGGATTTGGGGTGTCAGCAGGCAGTCACAACATGGGGAACCCAAACCCAATTCCCTTCTGTTTGGGGAGAGCAACCTCACATCCAATTCAATGGGTCGCGACACCTTCAGAATGATGTTTTTAAGAGGAGTGGAGATGTGGCACCGAGGGACATGGTCAGTGGGTGCAGTGGGGATGGGTTGGGTTGGAGTTGGTGATCTTAGAGCTGTTTTCCAACCTTAACAATTCTGTGGTTCTAATGGAGGGAGCAGCGACGGCATTCTGTATTCCTGAAAGCTACCGGTCAAAAGCACTGCCAGCTCTAGCTTGGAGTGGGAACAATGAAGTGAAGCCAGCTGAGGGCATCCTGAGAGCTCCCAGCAATGTTTGGGTCAAGGTCCTTCAAGGTGCTGGATCACAGGTAGCCCCACGAGCCACAAGACCAGGCGCTTCCACTTCTACAGACCCACGTACCAACCCCTCCTGACCCAAAAACAAAAGTCTATTTTTCAGGAAACACTTCTTCCCAACCCTGAAACCAGCACACTGTTCAGCAGCAGACTCCAGGCTTTGAACCACAGATTAAAGCAGACAAGCCCCCACCGTGCCATGGGATGGCTCCATGGGGCTGCTGCTGTGGGATGGCAATACCCCACTGCTGCTGTGGGGCTTCAGTGGGGCTGGGGCAAGGACAAGGTTACCCTGCTGCTGCCAGCCCCTTATTCAGCATCTCACTAATGACACTGCAGGCACAACGCTGCCAGCTGAACCTCATCGAGGGCTGTGCTCATTAGTGCTGCCTCCCAAGCACAGCACCGGTCGTTATCCCCAATTTCTGCACACATCTGAGCACTCAAAGGAAAAAAACTAAACAGCTCCTGACCATGCATGGGATCCGTAAGAGCCCACGCTCACAGTTTGGAGGGGATGCATGAACTCACTGTCATATCTCTTGTCACTGCAACGAGTCATCTCCTAATAATCCCTTCTCTCCTTTAATATAAATAGCTGTTTGCTGGAGCAAAGCAGAACCAAGAGGAGCTGCTCGCAGCCTTTGCCCTGCAAATCACGTCAGGTCTGCAGCTCACACTTCAGGACAGGAGCTGGTGCAGACTGCACAGTAAGGAAACGAACGCGGCCATCTCACCTGCAAAGAGATGAGAGCAGAGGGCCACTTACAGTGGTAAAAGTAAGGACAAAGAGAAGGCAATATCAGGGCTGTTTAACCACAGCTGTCTTCACACCAATACTTTAAAGCTCAGCACTGACAAGCATCTACCTGTCTAATTAAAATTGCAACAAAGGTCACATCGAGGAGCAGAAGCACTGCCTCAGCTTTGGGACAGATAGCACAACCCCTCCTACAGAGACAAGGAGGGAACAGTACAGAAGCATCACAAGAGAGGGTCCTGCTTATTTAAAGCCACGCTAACTCAGCTCAGAGGTGCAGTCACCCACGGCACAGGGCGATCTGCACTACTGCTCACGGGGCATGCACACTTCCCACACATCTCTGCAGCTTCCCAAATGGTCACAGCATCAGAAGCAGCATTGCCTGGAGCACAGCAGGGACCCAACGTGGTGCTGCCAGGACCTCACCACCACCACTCCCAACATTGCACCACACCACGGCGGCATGGGAAAAGCCCCAGGAGCAGCCAGAACCCTCTGAATTTCTTCCCTTTCCACGCACATCCCTTTGCATGGGGTGTTTAAACGGATCACAGAGAACATTTCTGGGGAGTTCTGAGATTCAGGCAATTTTTTGGATTTTAGCCTAGACTGGAGATAAGCCTGTTTCATGTTCAAAAGGTCTCTTCCAAAAGTAGAAACTTCAATTTAACATTCATTTCGCAATGTTAAGCAAAACCCAGCAGCGAAGCAATTCCTGACGAACGCCGGGTGCCATTTACCATACATTTATAAATATCTGAATGCTCCCCAGCCCTGAACCCCACCATGCAAGAAACCTGGCCATCACCACCCCTAGCACTGCCAGAACACCGCGAGCCTTCCAGCAGATTTGCTGCTCTGGGAGAGAAAGAAAAAAGCAAAAAAAAGCAAGAAAGATGCTCTCAAGCCCTTTTAGCTGCTGAACCCTTCAATATCCAAATGCGGGGAAGTTTCTTGGCCTCGAGCACTTGACATGAATATTATACTGCCTGTGTTTCGCCGGACACGCATTGTCACCCCGCTATCTACACGGCAGTTACAGCAGCGATACGCCGTCCATCAGCAGGAATGCAATAGTCTGCAGCAAGATTGCCTGTTATCAGAGCTTTCAAATACTTTTGGAACAAATTAAGGGCATTCCTGCACTAAAATAGAATGAGATACAGCGAGGGTTCAAAATGGGCAGCAATGGAAAAGCACTTGTAGTCTGTAGCTATTCAAGAACTCAAGCTATTCAGCGTTCAAGCCGGTCCTGCAGCAATGGCCACAGCTCTGTGGGGGAAACAAGGAGAAAATGGTCAGGCTGACCCACAGATCCAGCCCTGCCTGTGTTGGTGATGATGCTGCCTGCCCCAGGGATGGATGGCATCTGCTAACGATGCTCTGAATTTAAGAAAAAGCACATAGAGTAACTTTCTCCTTCTCTGCCCTTCCTCTGAGTCCCATAAGGCTGCAGCTTCATGTTTTCCTTGGAAATCAAAGTTACCAAACAAACCCCCCCCACTGCTCAGAACCCAAACGGCTCATGGCAATGGGACAGCCACCCACCCAGGACAGGTCAGGGAGGGATGTGGGACCCCAGCAGGGCTCCTTCCAATCGATTTGGTAATTCCATTTTTCCTCCGCCGTTCCTACAATCCTCACGCACAAACATTTTGAAGGTCTTCGGCTCTTATTACAATCAAACCTAAAAGCCAGAAGGCCTAAACGCACTTGGTTGGGAACCAAGACGATTCCCATAAAAGCAGATTATGCTGACATGATGAATATAAAATGAAACAGCAGATATTAAAGTTGGAGAATTGTTACTTCGTGCCTCCCGGCTGCCAGGCGCTCTGCCTCCCCCTCCTCCTCCTCCTCCTCCTCCTCCTCCTCCTCCTGGCTGTCTGGCTGATGGCACGAAGTGTGCTGATAGCCTTTTCACCCCTGCCTTCTCCAAGGCAGGCTGCCAGGCTTGAAATATTCAGCAGCTCCCCCCGCCAGCCCTTATGCAATGCTTCAGCGTTCATCGGTTATTCGGGAGGTTGCAGCCCTGCCTTATCTGCCACCAAGTTTCACAAAGCGTGTTTTGTATTTAATTGCCTTGTTCTCTGCTAATCCACCGCCACTGCCGACGTTTTGTTTCATCCTTGAAGGTCGTCATTAAAACAACCCACTCTGCTTAGAGCCCTTCGCCTCTGCTCCGTGCCCCAGGCCCAGCCCACAGCCCTCCCCATCCCCAGACCTGCTGGGTGCACCCACAGAAGCAGAAGATCCCCGGATCCCTCACCCTAATGCTCAGCACCACTCCTGCCTTCAGCCACGTGCTCTTCCCAGCTCGTGCTCTCCAAAGCCACCACTCACTGCCCAAGTGCTGGTTTACAGATTCTCTGGTTGCTAGCTACTACCACTTATGCTAATGAACCAAAATTATGCACAAAGTCATAAACAGAGATCTCCCCAGCGCCCTTGCCAGCACACGATTGCTCCCTGCAGAGCAGATTAGAGCAGACTTGCTCCAAAATGACTCCAGTAACGGGGCTTCCCCCTGCTCCCCAGGGGACAATTCTGCAGTCAAACAGGCCTTCACACTTCTTAGGGTTTGGGTCTTTTGTTAGCAACGCGCTGTTTTTTTTCCTCCTCAATCATTAGCTCACTTCATTATTTCTTCCCCTTTCCCTCTGCTCGATGTTAACATGTTCCTTTCCTTCTAAACCCGCTCCCCTCGCAGTACTCCCCAGGGCAACACACAAACACAGCTGCACGTCGTAAAAAAAAAAAGGAACAGAGAAGCTCAGAAGTTTAAGAAGGTTGACAAGCTCCCTCTGATCATCTCTTTTCAAAGCATGAGATGCTCTGCACCTGCAGGGAACTCCACGGGTGGCTCCGGCACAGCACGTCCCCAGGGCTGGACTGGGAGCTGCTGTGGATGCAGGAGGACAGCAGGGAGCCTTGGTCCTGAGGGAGCCCATGGGCAACAGCCTCAGCACTGTAAAAGCTCAAGTTCAGCATCTCCTCTGCTCTTCCTGATGCTGGATGGACCAAACAGCCAGAGCCCAGCACAAGGCGAGGTGGCTTTTGTTGCTTTGGGGCTGTCTAGAAGAAGAATGAGAAGCTGGGTTCGTGTATGTTCTGGAGAGCGGGCACCTCAAAGATTGCATAGGGATGGTAGTTAACTCATAGGCAGCTCTGACGGACAGCTGATAGATAACTGACAAACAGCTGACAGTCAGCTGAGCCACCACCAAGGATCCCCCAGCTGGAGCCCTCATGACCAGCACACCCCCAGTTTCTTAATTGCTGAAGGTCTGCACCCCA